TGTGCATAATGTAGGCAATTTCTAGCACATGCAGCAGTTGAATTTTGAGAGAAGGCCATAATTGGCGCTTGCACTCTGACCAGTAAAGTAAATGCTTTGAGATTCTGGTTTTATGAGCAGCTTTTGAAGCTCTGTAAATATGCAACGAATGATGCTAGAAGCCCGTTTCAATTATTTTTAGATAGAGCATGAGAGAAGCTTGTTGATAGTATGCCAAGTCTCTTCTAAAGAAAAAAGCTTGATGGAAAAAATTGTTTTAAACAAGCCTAAAAAACGCTCATTATTTCTGCACCATCCTAGTACATTCTTAAAATTTCCGCGTCCATATTTTCAGGACATCCGCACTGTATGACTCAGGAAAATCAGCAAATGATTTGTTGTTTTTGTTGCAGACATCGGTTAAAGCAGTAAACAATAACTTTTACATTCAGTACTAACAGTAGCTGAGGAGAACAAATTGTGATACATAGCAACGAAAATATGATTAGATTTTACAAGCAAACATTATAAAAATCACATTTAAAGCGTAGTATATAAGGCTTTCTTACGCTAATTTGCCAAATTCATTCGCAGTATTCATTCCATTCGCAATATTCATTCCATGCTTATCACCCTGGACACGACTATAATATTTGATTTTAGAAAATACTGGTCAAATGGTAAAATATAAGTTCCAGTTCCAACGCATTTCAACAAGCTTGGGAAAGGCCCCCACTTCAATGCTCAAAAAGTAAGAGCTTTCACGGCCTCACAGAAACACTTTCGTAACATCCATAAATGAAACCACTCTACCACTTTCAACTGTTGCTGAATAAAATATGCTGGGGTAGAAACTGATTACAAATTCAGTCTTTTTGTTAGATAAAGTGCATTAGAGCGCGCTTAATGGCGGAATGACTTTACAGAAACAAATATTTAGACTCTTCCAAAAGATAATGGTTGGGAGCATAATCTTTAAAACATCATGCAGGTGAACGAAAATGTTTTTGCGGGTTGTAAGTAGCAGCGAAATAGCAGCTCGTATGTTTGCAGTATGTCACCTTTAGCGGATGAATGAAGTATTGTAAGCAGCAACGAATAATCCCCTAAGCAAAACCTCAAACATATCCGTGCAGAATGAGCTTTGCACTATACCTAGCCTACCTCTGCAGTATGCTCAACAGAATGTGGCCGCTGAAATCAGCACACGTGTAGTCCATTTGAGCTCAAATTTCAAGAAAAACGTGAAATTGACTGCCTATCGTACACCTACCGTACCCCACTGCTAAGTACTTCTATAAAACTGAAGATGTGCCTCGCCAATCTAAGTCGAATGGTGTTCTCAAATTTTGAATTCACGCAATCTGAACCGAGATAGGGCTAGAACTCCGCAGGTTTCGGCAAACTTTTTCGCGGAGCCCGCCTAACAAGGGAAGGAAGGTTGTTCGAAGCGGCCTTTTGAAGTGAGATGTATACTGCCTTGTAGAGCTTGGAACGCTGATTTCAAATCTACCTTTGCTATCTGCTGCGGGCTTCTAAGCGAGGAGTTATGTAGGTTTTTGTGAGTAAAAATCTGAATGCAAAAATAGGGTAAAATCAGTCGTAACCTTTTCGCAATGTTCAAATGAGGCAGCAGCGAATTGGTATATTTCAATCAAGAATATTTGTTGCACCGAGTGATCCGACTACCTATTAAGCCCTGTAAAAAATGTTACGACTGATTTTAGCCTACTCTTGCATTCAGATTTTTACTCACAAAAACCTTCATAACTCCTCGCCCAGAAGCCCGCAGCAGATAGCAAAGGTAGATTTGGAATCAGCGTTTCAAGCTCTACAAAGCAGTATACATCACATTTCAAAAGGCCACTTCGACCAACCTTCCTTTCCTTGTAAGTACGATGGCCGCAGCCTAGGTTCGTCAACTGCGCTGTTTTTATTTTCACAGGTTGAGCGGTTTTGTAGTCATCGTTGGTCACACACTCACATTCGACCCCTTTAAAAAAGACTCTGTTTGCTTGTAACAACACTATTTCACTTTTCCTTCCTGATAAAAAAAGCTGTATTGTCTGCAGCTTTTTCGTTTGTTAACAGAACTAGCCTTTGCACGAGCTAATATGAACTTGTGTTTTTGCAGTTGCACAACCTATGCCTTTTAGAGAATTCAAATAACAACTGTAGAAAAGCGCTTGTTTTATGCATTGGTGTTGGTAGAAATAAGCTGCAATAATTGCATTTACTTTTGAACTTGGTAAGAAATTATTTCGTACTGAAATTAAAGTTCAAAAAAAAATTTGAAGTGGGGCCTGCAAAGGACCGAAAAAGTTTTCGACTTATCTCTGAACTTCAACAAAAGCTCAGCGTCTTTGTCTTGTCGCCTGATTGTGAACAAGTTGTATACCTTGTTGCAACCTTGCCCTCTAAAAGCGCTCAATAATGTGAAGTGATGTGAAATACAAATTCACTTCGACTCAGATCATCAAACAACAGAGTATCTTTATTTCGAGCAATAAGTGGGGCACTTACATTAGATATATGTGACTGGTGCTATTTGAGGAGCTGCAAAAGTTCGAGGGTTTGTAATTCAGCTTCATTATTCCATGATCACCATTGCTTCATTTACTGAATGCATAGTAACTGAGCAAAAAGGAATCAAAATCGTACGGAATTTTCTCACCAAAAAGACAAAACACACTCCATCCTCTTGCATTGGCATATCCATATCGTAGGAGACTGCAGCCATATCCGACTACTGTTGCGCAATTCTGCAGACAAGACCATAGGCGTAGTAGTGCGATGCAGAAATTACCTTCAATGCAGAAGTTATGTTGGCTTCATAGGACAGAAAAATTCGTGTCACTTTGTCTTCGTCCGTATCATCGCTGCTGACGCTTTTATAGCTGCTGAGAAGAAACAATGAATAAATTGTGAAGACCTTCACACCCAATCTCACCTCCGGTAACTAAAATGGCACTCTTCTATGTCGACCGGGCCTTGCTGAAGCTTTCGCTGATATTCCAAAGCTTGCTCCTCCAGTTCGCAAACGTGGACCTAGAATTTTGAGTAATCTAGCACAAAACTCTATCAATGAACGAATGCGATTCGATCTTACAGCCCCATAGTTTCCAACATCCTCAAGAGCTTTGCACATTAATTGTTGCGTCATAGAAACCAAAGTGTAGTATGGGCGTGCTGTCTGCGGTACATTTTCGTGACAATCGATGATATCATCTGCAACAGAAACATTTATGAGAAATTTTGAAGCGTTTCTCTTTCATACTGCATGCTATATAAATGTGATCTGCAGATCTTTGGTGGAGTGACTGAGCAGACCAGTCAGCAGTAACCACAGAGACCTTGAAATTGTTTCGATGAGATCGAAGAAAACATATATGGGGCGAAACTCACCGCTAGTACCGAGAGTGTTGCAGGAAACATAGCGAAAAGGAATGGTTGACGCTGAAACGCTAGGTACTTTTATGTGCCAGAGACGGGAAAAATAGGTGGCAAGGATTGCAACCTCTATAGCAATCCATTATTGGTATTCTAATGAAGTACGCGAGGCACGTACTTTTATTTATCTCTCCACTTTGTACATGCAGTGTTTTCTTTTATAGAACAATGCATCAAAATAACCACACGCGATCTATAGGTTTTTGCCTCATTCATACTGGATAGATTGAACTTTACCCGAACTTCGTTGCAAATAAAGGCAGTTGAGTGGACTACTTACAGTGTTCATTGAACGACCGTAGTTTCATTTTTTCCTCTTAAGTTTATATTCCCAAATCTCAATGGTTTTTTGTGCCATCCTTGAGCAACTGCTTTTGTGTATATAACGTCCAACTATCACATTGTGTCCTATACCCCGAGTCAAAATTTTTAGCTTTTTCCCACGTTTCTTGAATGAGAAAAATCGACAAAAAACAAAAAAATTAATGTACAACTGCTCCTTCTAATTGACTGCTCAAAACCCCTGGAATCTGCGAAGCAAGATATTTTCGCAAAATCTTTCAATCTCGCCTAACATCGTGAGTGCTCTCCAGTTTCAAACTTTGAGAAAACACCATAACATTGATGGACTTATACACACGATCCGTCCTCTCTGCCACTTTCGTATTTTCCTTAGAATTTTTCTCCAACTGCTTTCAAATATTTCCCTTCAAAGCCAAAATCACGTACATACTGCGAAAGATGTGTAACATTTTGCAAAATAAATTGTCATTATTTAGTATAACTGCTGAGAAATCCTTCTTGGGAAAGCATCACCTTCACATGCACCTCAGAATTTCCGAGCTTGCTCGCAGTATTTTGGTTACTCTGGAGTACAAGCTTTGAAAAGGCTTGGTTGAGAATTGCCATTTCCAAAGTCAAATGTTATAATAAGGTCAACTAACTTTCGGACATTTTTTAAGAGCATTAGGAGGGCTTAATGCATGTTAATTTGAGTCAAAATAGATTTTTGTAGAAAGTTCTCATGTGGTGCATGAACTTATCACACCTAAACTTAATTGACCCCTCTTTTTACTACACTCATTCATTCATTTCACAAGAGAGTCGTCCACGCAATTTTGGATCTCAAGCTGTTTTGATGACGAAAATAGCGCATCTATGCGATCAGTTTCCTGTGATCTATTGTTCTCACTTATTTAGAAAGCGACGATGACATTACACACAAATTCGTTGTAAAATCCAACAAAAATAGAATCCTAGCCGTTAGACTTATCACATGCATCACAACAATTTCTATAGTCATATGTTGTCCTGTATTGTAATGTAATTCTGTAATTAGCTGCACTGTGCTCTGTACACACAACATTTCGTGTACAGATTATGTTTCTAAATATAACTAACCATTTGTCCCTCATTTGTTCGTTTTCATGAGATATGGTGGAAACTTCTATAACTGTAGTCAAAAATGGGTGCGCTAAGTTTTAGCTTTTGTACCATACCTTTGATACATAGAGCCATGTACTGTGGTAACTCTTACCTTGAGCGCCATGATAGAACACATCCTTCACTTGGACAAACGAACAAGTTTCGTCCGGGGCCAAGCCCCGGATTTTTTTTTATCCTTGCATTCTTCCCTCAGAGGGGGTCCTACTCTGGTTAGTCTCTTCCTGACTTCTCGATCTTCAGCTTGATCTTCTTCTATCTCAAGTTCTCTCAAGTCCGCTTTCACTTTGTCTATCCATCTCAATTTCGGCCTCCCTCTTGGCCTCTTTCCAGGTACTTCGACTGACATCACCAACCTAGCGACATGATCTTCCGCTCGTCTTCTAACGTGTCCATACCATCGCAATCTCTTCTCTTGTATCTTCTTGACGATAGGGGCGACCTTCATCGTAGCTCGTATGGTGTCGTTAGTGACGTGGTCCAGCATCGTGACTCCCGCTGTCCATCTTAGCATGCGTGTCTCCATCACACCAATCCTTCGTTCGTCTTCTCGCGTGCACGGCCAACATTCGCTGCCATACAGAGCAGTCGGGCGAACTGTAGTGCGATACAGCTGGGATTTTAGCTTGAGTGGCATCTTCTTATCGCACAGGACTCCTGTGACACTTCTCCATTTCGACCAAGCTGCATTTATTCTGCTGGTTATTTCGTCCTGAAGCGTACCATCTGCGGCGATGCGACTTCCTAGATACTTGAATGTCGTGGTCTTCTTAATTGGGGCGCCTTCGATTTCTATAGTTCCAGGCGTTTGAGGTCCCATCTCCATGTACTCGGTCTTGCTGGTGTTGATCTTCAAGCCGTGCAGCTCAAGTCCACTTTTCCACTTCTGCACCTCGGCCTCCAGTACGTTCCTGCTTCTTGCCATCAGCACCACATCATCTGCGTACATCAGAGCCCACGGAGGTTGCCGTATGAAGTCTCTAACTATCGTATCCACTACCGTGATGAAGAGGAGGGGTGACAGTACGGAGCCTTGATGAACTCCGGCGTTGATCTGGAACTCTTCTGATGGACCTGCTGCTGTTTGTACGTGGCTTCTGGCATCTTTGTATATCATCTTGATCCATCGCACATATTCTTCCGGCACCATGTGCTTTCGTAGTGACCACCATATGATGTCATGCGGCACTTTATCGAACGCCTTCTCCAAGTCCAGGAACGCCGCGTGCAGCTCGCATTGCTTTTCCCTGCTTCTTTCTATCATTATTCTGACGCGTGAATGGCATCTGTTGTACTGCGGCCTTTGACGAATCTACACTGGTTAGGGACTAGCTCCACGATGTTTCGCAGTCGTGCTTCTAGAATTCTTTCGAAGATCTTCAGGGTGTGGCACATAAATAGATGGGGCGGTACGTCGAGCAGTCAGCTACGTCACCTTTGTTCTTCCATATTGGTACCGTCACGCTTCTGCACCAGTCGTTCGGAATCTTCTTGGCTTCTATCACCCGATTGAGCAGTCGTGTTAGCCATGTAACTCCAGCTTGACCACATGCTCTCCAGAATTCGTTGGGGATGTCATCGGGGCCTGTCGCCTTGCCGTTCTCGTCTTCATTATGGCGGCGCGAACTTCGTCTTCGGTGATAGTTGGAACTGGTCCATGCACAGGCTCAGCTGTAGACGTCAATCTGTACTCGTGGCTCGTAGACGCTGTTTCGGCGAAGTGTGCTCTCCATCTTTCTCTTATCTCTTGTGGCTTCCTGAGCATTTTCCCGTGTGCGTCCTTGATACTGTAGAAGTGCTCTACATCTCTTGTGGCGATTGATCCTGTTTTCGCGAGTCGGTAGATGTCTCGTTCGCCTTTTCGAGTGTGCAGCTTCTTGTAGAGTACCTCCATATACGCTTCTTTTGCCTCTTTGACACTCTTCTTGGCTGCCCGCTTCGCGTCTGAGTATCTCTGCCGTGCCTCTTCTGATTTCAGCTCTTCTGCCACATTCTGTACGCTGTCTTCTTCTTCTTGATCATGGATTGCACCTCATCGTTCCACCACCAGGTTTCTTTGTCAATTTTTGCCCTTCCTGGTTTCGTACGTCCTAGTAGACTGCTTGCTATCTGATGGACATTCTTCTTCAACTTCTTCCAGGAGTCTTCTGATTCTTCTTCCAACTCTGGTAGGGCAGATTCCATGGCTGCTCTGATGTGGTCGTTGTCTTCGAACTTCCCCATTTGATCCGTGCTACTTGCCCTGTTATTGTTCTTCTTTGCTTGTCGGCTGGAATATTCAGATCCAGAATTAGTGGTCGATGTTGTGGTATGCAGTCTTCTCCGGGTATGACCTTGGTGTTCCTCACATACTCAAGCTCACTTTGTCGTACTGTCCAAAAGTCTATCTGTGTCTTCCGATTCCCGCTGGCGTACGTGATGAGATGATTATCCTTCTTTACGAAGTATGTGTTTGCCAGCGCCGAGTCATGCGCCGTAGCGAACTCCAGAATACGTTCTCCTTCGCTATTACGTGTTCCGTATCCGTGATTACCATGACACTTGCTTGTACCACTTCGTTGTACACCTACATGCCGTTGAAGTCTGCTCCTAATTAGTAGCATCTCGTCGCGTGGTATCGAGTTGATACAGTCATCGAGCTGCTCCAGAATTCATCCTTCTCTATCTCCGTGCACCCAACTTGTGGCGCATATGCGGTTACGACTTGTAGAATTCTCTTCCCCATATCCATTCTGATGCACATTAGTCGGTCACTTATTCTCCACATCCGTGATTCTACTTCTTAACGCTTCTGAGACCACTATACCGACGCCGTTCCTGTTGTTGCACGTTTCTTTGTACAGAAGCTTGTACCCGTCACCTATGTCTCGTGACTTCTCTCCTTTCCATTTTGTCCCCTGAATACAAGCGATGTCAACCCTACATCTTCTGAGAAGATCAGCCAACTCGCGATGCCGTGAAGTGAGTGATCCTACATTGATGGTGGCTAGACGTAACGCTGAGAACTTGGATACTCGCCTACGGTGAGCTAGCTTCTTTAACCGTCCCCGCTCACCCTGCTGAAACGGTAACCCTAGCATACTATTCGCATCCGTCGGGCTCGAATGCGCGTCGCCTCCGGGGAACGCCCTAGCTTTTGTTCCGAATACTTGATGAGACATAAAAGAGCATTTGATGCGACCAATGTCTTCTTCAGCCAGCTTGTCGCTTGTTTTCCCTTTGGATTAGCAGCCAGACGCTGGATTCGTGGGGCGAGAGTTTTGCCAAAGAGATTGGGCCCACCGCGGAACCGAACCTGTGACCTTCCTCGCCGTAGTCAAGGGCACTAACCTCTCGGCCACTCCGCCCCGGGCAAAGCTCCGGATATTATGACATAACTACTAGGTTGTTCCAAAAGTTGTCAGATTTCGAGTTACCTTGTTTCAACGCAGCTAGATTCTTAGAGTTTTTGTACTTACTGCAGAAGTATGAATATCATCTAAAAGCACTTTTCTTGCTCTTTCTAATGCTCGCTAATGCTTGACGAAACATCTTCTCAGTGA